AAATCTTAGTTTCGATTACGTTTTTGATACGTATTACTCACTTATATGTAATAATATAGAATAAAAATATACTATTAGTCCGATATTTGAAAATATGCATGCGTTCGTTGTCACTGTTAAACTGTTGTAATAACAATGGAATAATAAAATAATTTACTCAAATGTACATAATAATACATATACATATCCATAAAAACAATGTTAAACGCAATAACTTTTTTGTACGCGAAGAAAAACTAATATAGGTCCGTCGGGATTGCAACCCAAGACTCCTTTCTAATACGTCTACTTTATAGCGAACGGACGGAAGAGAATCCGTTCACGACCATGGTCCCTTCTTAGATTTAACGTAGTTCACAAATTCACCGTTCTCATAACGTAGAGAGCAGCAGATAATCCCTTACTTTTTACACTATCGGTATTTCAGAACATGAGACGCGAAGTCCCATAAGATGATAGGTCTATCCTATACCTCGTCGGTGGTAAAACGAAGTTCAATTGATCGATAGATTGTGACACGGACTGGTAGAGGGCTCTGCTAACGCGAAATTTTGTGGTTCTGATATATGCTAAGGTGGACCACGGGGGCAGCACAGTGCTGCCAGCACTTGCTCGGGAACACCGAAACCGCGGGCATTAGCACTCTCATTTCCTCTCTGATGCAACTCTGCAAGAAGTTATTAGGTTATGTTAATTACTCTTACTATTGGACTACTTTACGAAATATAAGGATAGGTGCGCTCTAACCAACGTGATTTTTGTGGGACACCAAGTCAAGTCCCATAAGATGTTAGGTCTATTCAGTCTATTCTTATATCTCGTCTGTGCTACTACTGAACTATTTTACAATTAATATGAAAAATATACGACCCTGTTGTTAACACGACATTTGTTTTTAAATTATACGGCCGTGGACAGTACTAGCGGCTGTGCTCATGGACATAGGAATAAAAAGCAATAATAGTTTTGAATAATTTACAGGGCGAAGAATTGCAGATAGTAGAAGACATAGGTGGACCAAATTGTAAAATATTATAAAGACAGTTAAAGAAAAATAGAGGAAAATGTGTGAACGAAGGACTTAATAAGCAATTGAAAGCATTTGCATTGACCTTACATTATTATTCCCCAAAGACCTACGAATATGTAAGAAAACAGTTTAACAACAACTTACCACATTGCAAAACCATTTCTAAGTGGTATGATAGTATAGAAGGAAATCCTGGCATCATGGTAGAAAGTGTAAATGCTATCAAGGCACAAGTGAATAGTGTAAATTACAAATTACTTGAGTCAATATTATTTGGTAAGATGGCTGTTAGACAATATATAAAATATGATGGTCACAAGTTTAATGGGTACGTGGATATGGGTGATACTATAACCCCAGCTGACACAACTATTGAAAAAAACGCATTAGTTTTCATAGTTATGTGTATTAATGGTGCATGGAAAATTCATCTAGCTTACTTTCTAATGAACTCTATAAATCCTGAACAAAAAAAGAATCTCACTTTGCAATGCATGTTGTGTTTGCACAACGGAGACATGCAGATTGTGTGCAAAAGTGAAAGATAATCTTCGAGTTATTTCTATTTCTAAATAGTAATGTTTTATTTATTTACCAATCTCATCAAATAATAATATTGCAAAACTTTCTGAATTCATTGCGTAGTTGCAAAATTAAATACCAAACAAAAACAATTTTGTTTCATATCTATAGATTCTAACTTTTAACTATTCAATTGAAACATCTCAATGTCTTACATTTATATGATACCATTAATATTTCAGTATGTTCATTTATAAATAAAACACTTTGTTTCTCTGTTTTACTGAAAATATTCTATCGTATATTTAAAATATTTATAATTATAAAGAAACTAAAGGTCTCATCTTGAAATTTCGCGCATTTATGCTACAATGAATCACCTATCTGGCACCAGTATACCAAATTATATATATTAAATGTCGTAAATCTCGTATATCTGGAATGGAAATATCTATTTATAACATGTTTCTAACCTATAAAACGTTTTTCGTATAGGTTATAAAAAATGTCAATTTATTAACAATTATAATTCTCATTAAAAACAATTAAATTAAAATCGGTTACATTGATGAAAAATGGATATTGAATGGCTACTAAAACAAAAGAGTATAAAATAATAAATATAATTTGTTTAGATTGAAAATTATGTTAATAAAAACTTTATTTTCATTTTGGACGAAATGAGATTGATCGATTACTAGCAAATTTCTTTTTTGATGTAATATCCCTTTTAGTGTAATCAGAACATTGTAAAACATTTATTAATGCACTGAATGATCAATATAAGCCTCCTGCAAGGAAGGCACTGTTAAATGTGATGAGCTCGTTAATTCTACAAGGTAAGATGAACCACAAGATAGAGTATTACTAATTGATGGGTGGAAAAATTCAACAGTTAATAGTAGAACTGTTGCGGCTATGGCCAATGTTACATGTAACATGTCACCAAACACCTTTTCTGGACTCATAGAACTTTAGTACAATAAGAGAAACTGGAGAGGTTCTGAGTGAAGTTGTAAAATAATTAATTTCATTACTACTTATCAGTAGTAATGAGATTAATGATTTTGCTTTACATTTATTGATATTCTTGTCATAAATGTTTTCAGTCTTATCTGTACACACTGTACTGCAACTTACCATACTTAAATCAGATGTATTATTATTAATCCTATCATACAAATGTTTATTTACTTGATTGAAAAATTATCATTTTTTTATCGCAGTTATATTTCCAATATTACGGTTGCACACTGTGCAAAACGCTACATTTTCGCCTTTTTCATTCTTTCTTCTAATGAACCCCAACTAATCATATTGATTATGTTCTTTTCTACCACCCATTTTTTGACAATCACAAATAATATATATATATCTATATACTAAAAATTAATTTGAGATTATATTTCGTGTTTAATATTACACCTACAATATTACATTTTTAACATTACATACTAAAAGGAGATATGTATTGTTTTTACTTATTTCTAAAAAGTCTTTCTACTTTAATTGTTTAAACGTTGAAATAATTAATATTTCTATTTACAACACTTGCGACGAATGACACCAATGACCGTGCAAAATGAACTCAAAAAGGGACATATGTATTATACGTATATATTACATACGCATTTACGATATTGTGTAAAATACGTACCCTCTGCTTATGCATAAAGAATTTTCTCTCTGACAAAGATTACATATCGATTTTGTTATCAATCATTACGATGTATTATTATGGTGTATATTTATTAAAAGTGTAAATATATGAATAAAATACTTGAATAAAAAAAATTAATAAAGGATATTTCAGTTAAAAAAAGTAGTATTTTATTTAATAATATAATTAAACTAATACAAAAACTGTTTGTAATTAAATACTTATATGTATTTAACGTACAAATTATTGAATTTTATTAATAAAAAAGGATAAAATGTACAGACGTAATTTACAATGAATTAATATGTACAAAATACTGTATTGTAATATTCATTATTCAAAATTAAGAAATAAAATTAAACCGAAAATATTTTCAAAGTTTATTCAACTTAATATTGATAAAAAAGAATATATTACATAGTACACTTAAAACCAACTTATACATATAGTTATATGACACTATAAAATGTTGCACCACAAAAGATACTGTATACTTATATTATGATTTATTTTATTTTCACCGAAAGATAAAATAACATCGAAGCCAAGTTTCTTCCAAAGTTTTGCAAAATGACAAATAATAGATTCAGCAAAATACGCAGGCGCTGTGGCGTTGAATCTCGTAAGCGCTATCAATCCAGAGTTTTTCATGGTCGTAAGTCTTATTCTGTGTAGAAAGAAAAAACCGCGAATGGAGATTATGAATAAGAATAAATCAGTAACATTAGTCGACAGTTTCACCGAGAGTTTAATCGAAAGCGCCGCGTATTTAATTGCAGCACTGTCGAATTCGTGCTCTGATCTTGATTCGACGCAGAACAGAAGAGATCACTACTCAAGGATTCAGTAAGAATGGCTGCCGTTTTCAGAAGATTCAGATCCGCGCAGATCAGGGCGATCGGCAATACTAAATTACCGTCATTTATTAACAGCCGGTAGGCGATACGATTCCAAAAGCTTGGGGAACGCTTCTTTTTTCATATGTTCGCGTATAAACTTGCGTGAGCCAGTCTAAGCGGCGGCGTTTTAGGGCAATAGCCACATCGTGTGTGTTGTAGATCATTTGCAAGTTCATCGATCCTACAGAATGACAGCATAGGACTAGCATGGCGAAAAAAATCCGACCCAACCAAAGAGCCGCACTCACGGATGCTGTCGGATAAAGGAGTTATTTACGCTTTGCACACGCACAACATTCGACCCGATTCCACTGACAATTACTTGACCAATTAGTGAGTGAATCTCTGATTCCCTTATGTAAATATATACTTTTTTCTGCTCTGTCTGACTTTGGTGTTAGGTGTTTTTACTATTATTTTTTAATGTAGTAATGTGTCACGAAAATATTAGATTTTATTTATGTCACAGAATTAGCATGCACAGAAAATTCTTTTATAGTAGGAAAAATTTTGGGATATTACAGTGAAGAGGTTGTTAACATTCTAAACTCCAAGAAGTCTGAATTACAATTGGAACTAGTCGGCTCATGGACTGTTACAGCTGGCGATATTGATCAAGCTTTGCACCTTTGGCGATACAACGGTGGTTACGATAGTGTTGATCGCACACAGGTTGAATTATCTCAGAATAAAGTATGATGTTACCAAAAAATTTATTTATATACAATGAGTACAAAACAAAAGTGTACATAAGTTTGAGCGTGAACATAATTTTTAGGCATATCAACAATTATTTAAAGAAGGTGGGAAATATGTTCGATCACGTTATCTGCAGTATTTATTGGCATTTAGTTACTGGCCTGTTCCTACAAAACGAGAAGATTCAAATATATATGAGATACGTAGTTATAGACTGAATGCTGGTGGAATGATAGAATGGGGTAATAATTGGGCAAAAGCCATCAATTTTAGACGCCATAACAATGAACCTTTCGGTGGTTTCTTTTCACAAATCGGTCGATTGTATAATGTTCATCACATTTGGTGTAGGTATCAAACTGTCTAAACCATTTTTTATTTCATTTCATCTAACGATTATGTTCAACTAAAATCATTTCAGGCTATAAAAGTCTCCAAGCACGAATGGAAACTCGGGAAAGTGCGTGGAGATCTCCAGGATGGGACCGATGCGTTGCACACACAGTACCAATAATAAGAGAAACACATTCCCGTATTTTAAGTCCTACTAGCTTTTCCCCAACAAAATAAAATTTCTGTCTCATGGATTCAAATGCATTTGTATATTACAACTTATTCTTTATGTTTATATTATAATATTCTAAAGACATTTGTTATATATAAATATATGTACACTCTACATTTATAATTGTGTAAAATAAGTGCTTAATATGAGGGATTGTAGCATTTTGTTGTATTACAACAACTAAAATGTATTTTAATAAAATTTAAATTTCTTTGTTACCATAGGCTTTATGCTATGTTCACTGTCATCCAAAGAACCATATTTATATGTATGTATATAAATGAATATAATCAAGTTTCTTTATTGACCTCTACTATTTATACTTCTCTGATTTCTAGAATGATGTGAGCTTTAAATTCTGTAATTTGATTTAAACTTACTATTTGTAAAAACACGCTGGTAAAATAACACATTGCCTTCTCATTCAAATCAATTGTAATAAAAGAAATCGATTTCAGAAATGGAACGGTCATAAAATACATATAATTAAATATCTTTCGTATTATTATCTAATCAGTGTATCAAATCTGATTAATTTGAGCTATTTACTATAAATCTTAATAATTCACTGTGTAAAGAATATTTTGTTGTGTTTCCATTACCTACTAGATAAAAACTCTACATTAGTCAAAATAAAAAGGGAAGATAATTATAATAACTACAACTCTTTATTTATATTTTATGTTTCATTTTGAAATCAATGTTTTTACAAAGGTACTAATATTTATTATTTAAATGTTATAAATACATTTATATAATAAAATAATAATTATCGTTATTGTAATAAAGAATTATCATACATTCCTATTTCGTATTACAGAAAAGCATCTTATGTGAGTATATTATTTATACTTTAGCTTTCTAATAACTCATAGAGTCTGTTAGTGCTCAATTCAACCTAAAACACTTCAGCGTTGCTTAAACTTTTACATTATTATTATTATAAGGTTTTTTTACTTCCATTTAACACTATCTAGTAGTTCAGAAACTAGAACTATCTTAATGCAAAGGAAATACATCAAATTTTGCTTCTGTGTATATAAACATGAAATCACTAAAGTAAAGGATGCTTTTTATATGATCTACAATGCTTATTTTATTAAAAGTTATTGCATTAATATAAATATACTTAATGTACATTGTACGAATTTTTATTATTATATAATATAATCAAAACATTTCTTTAACACACACAACAATAATTATAGTTTCAGCAGCACTGACTTTACAATGCTAATACTTGGGTCTTGAAAATTAGAAAGGTAAAAAAATGAAATCAAAGTTTAACTGTACTAAAATTTGAAAATTTGAAAAATTTTGAAGGTATAAAATTAATGTCTTATATGTTTCAAAATAGAAAGCATCTTCAAAACACAAAAACAAATATCCATGATATTTTTTACGATTATTTACAGTATACAAATATAAATATAGGTATATACAAAATGTAGTAGAAGACAACCATATTTACGTAAAAAAAAGAACAAAATAAAGTTAGAATAAGAAACCTCTCTCAATAGGAGACTATTAATATTCAATCACTGTTATATGTGTGTAAACATAATGTTAAGTGACTATGATGAACCCAGTATTATTTATAAACATATTTTATATATATGTTATACTGCTTTAGATGAAATAGTACATCTTAAATTGTTTTGTAAGTCATGGAATTTTTTATAGTTATAATGATCGAAACGATGAAACAATGTTACTAAAAAGTTCATAATTTTTTATTTACATAAATATTTAGAGAGTACCTATTAGAAATTATCTAATACAAATTTTTGGTAATGAAAGAAAATAGATGATACAAATTTGTGAAATTCATGCCAATCTGTATGGTATGAAACATTATACATTATTCTATAATTGCAAAATAAAAAACAGCTTTGTGAATGAAAACTTTTTTTCTTGTTTGTGACAATCAATTTTTCATTTCATTATAATTTTTACAACTTTATATATAACCACCTTTTATAACTAATACTAAACTTATATTTAAACCATAGCTATAATAAATCTTAACAATCTCGACTATATTTTTGCATTCTTTAAAATCACCTGAAAGCTTTCCTAAAAACTTTGTGTCACATAGGTACATTTGATATAAAATGGTTCTATTAAGACACTTATATAGTTTTATAATTTCAAGCAAACACTATTACAATCTGTAATTAATTACTATTTCCTTTCATTAATCTTACTTTATACTTATGTATAATGTTTCGTACTGAACGAAATATAAAGGATATTATCAATTAAGTATAATATCAATGTAAAATGTCTAATTATATTGGTGATAACATCAAACTATCAAAAAATATGTATGTTAATATAACTTGATCTGCAAACTTTTTGTAGATTAAAATGATTAAAACTCGGCATTTATATAGTATATAAATGATATTGCAAATACATTATACATATACATACATGTTCATTAAATGTAAGGTAAAACAACTTGATTTAACATAATACTAGAAGAACTATAATTCGTAATTAAGTGGATGGCAGACAAACATTTTACGATTCTCCGTTAATATTTAATAATTATATAAAAAAATTTTGGAGTTACATTGTTAACTTTGAATACAGATTGATTTCCCCATTCACATAAAATCAGTGCAAGTATATTACCACAAAATCTCTCATAAATTTCCGTCTATGTGTACTCTGAACTATTCTTCTATCCTCTATAACTTGATCAGAATTAATCTTTGAATAGTAATTGATATTTCATTTATGTAACAGTACCAATCTTTTTGCACTGAAAAATAGCATGGTAAAATTGTCAAATAATCCGGATAAAATAAAAATGATAATATTTTCATTACTGACTAAAATTTTAAGAGAAAAATAATGTGTTAGCATCTTCTGTGAGTTTAATATTATTAACCTTCAGGTGTTATACATTTTTATTTAATGAGCGTGAATATACCCATTAAAAAAATTTTGCTGTAAAAATGAGGAAATCACACATAGATGGAAATAAGTGAGAAATTAGCTGATCAAATATGCATAAGGTATAGATTAATAGTAGATAACTGATATGCCATGCCTGTAACTAATTGGCTGGCTCATATATCACGTTTTAATTTTAAATTATCAAGTCAGTAGCCAGAGCTTTGGAGAATTCAATAAATTCTATTACACTAAATTCTAGTTGTTGTAATTTAAGATTCAATTGCAAAATCGTATGCATAGAGAATGAATATTTACAAAATGCTGGCAACAGCAAAAAGTAATATTCTAAATTAATATTTAGTAATTTCTTATACTGCTTACACAGTATAAAAAATAGTCAAATGTTGTAATTTCTCTTTTTTGTTTACTTCCTTTTTGATACACACGTACAACCAGATTTATAGAGAATCCGTGCTACATTTACCAAAAATATAAATATAAAATTCAACAATTGAAATTCTGTCCAATTTCATTCAACAATTTAAAAAAAAATATCAAACTCATTAGTTACATAATGTACTTACTATAAATATTACTGTAATTTGGCATAATAATTAATCAAGTGTATTTCTAGTGTAATATATGTGACACTACTTATTTCATATACTTACTAGTTTTATACACAATTTTGAAATACAACTTATATATTTGGATCTTTATTTAAAAAACAAATTTTTTTCTATTAGTAACATTTCATATACTACAATATACATGTTACTTAGAGACTAAGATTACTAATATTCCATATTTAAATGAATTGTTGAAGAAATGAGATTTATTTATGATTTTCAGTTTAGTATGAAAATTTGTAATTATATAAAATATTATATTAGTCATTTTATGCAATCCACAATGTTTCAATAAATATTATAATGTAAATTGTATAATAGGAAATCTGTCATAATATTTTCTGGGCCAATGAAAATACTGTAATATCTTATACATTACTAACGAATTTAGTGTACTTCTAAGTGCATTCGCAACTTCAAAAAATTACAAAAACTGCTCTTAAGAATAAACAAGTTTGTTCTGTGACATGCAAACTAATCTAAAAATTACTGTCTTCAAATGTAATTTTTATTTTCGAAGATCTTTTTTCCTTATATATTATTATAAGTCATGGATACAGTGCAAAGTACATAATGTTTACTTTTGATAATACACGTACAGAGAATTTCTTTCATTAAAAATTTCAGGTGACAATGCTCTGGGTACAACAGTAGCCACTATATGTGCCAACAGAAATTTAGAAATACATTTTTTATAAACAAATTTTTACGTAAAATATTATTTATAATGTTAAGAAATTTCTTTGTAAATTCATACTGATCACTATCTACTAAAATGATGTATGGATTGCAAGCAGACTAGGATTGTGAAGTTATGGCTTATATTGCTTAATACATTATAATTTAGAATGTAGCACGAATATCTCTACTAGTCGGCATTGTTTATTATCAATTATAATTGTTTACTAAAAACTTCTATTGAACTCATCTATTGAACATCTCCCTAAGAGTACAGTCTAAAGTAGAATTTAAATGTAATACATGTATATAATTCTACAGACTTCATTGAATTAATTGCTACATTCTCTACTCGTGTATAACATGTGTATATATTTACATATTGTATTATTACAAAAAGTTTTTCACTTGATTGTGACTGCCTTCGTTTAAACAGTTTTGAACACATAATTACAAATATGTTTTTAGCTTTGATTATTTTTATTTTTGCAATTGAACACACTTTCTCTATTTGTTTATAAATTTTGATTTTTTCTATTAAATCATGAAAAAATAATATTACCATATATGTATAAAAAATTTGGAATGTGCGCTACATTCTAAATGTAAATAATGGTAAGAAATATTATAGAAATATTTCAAGATACTTGTCTGCTATTTTCAAATTAAAGCTTTTTACTTTGTAATATAATATATAATTATTTTACTGTTTCCATGTGGAAGATATATTCTACGATATATTTAACTTAACTTACGACATATACAAATTTATGTATTTATGGAAAGATATTAATTTTTAAGATGTTAAAACATTGAGTAGATAACTATATACTATATGTTACATAGTAGAAACTTTCAAATATAATTGTCAATGAAAATGTTAAATCTTTTCAATTCAACACGAACAATCATACCTTCATGTAATATTATTTCCATTAATCATACTTTAAGGAAGATATCATTCACATTATTATAAAAGATTAAATATAATTTTACAAACACAGTCACAATCATTTGAGTTTAAATTCAATACTTCATAATGAAGATGAAAGTATATAAAACAGAAAAAGTACATGGAAATGTATTAAATGAAAAGGGAAAGAAACAAATTAGATATTACAATATACGAGTACAACATTGGGATGTGTACTGGATGGAAATTTCAAGCAATCACAACAGAATATAACACAACTGAAATGTTGATAATACAAACAGAATAATAATGCTATCATAACCACTTTAATAAATAGTAAACGAAGGTATTAAAAGTACCTTATTAATACCTACAAAACTGACATAGAAGATTTCTAATATACTGGAAATAACACATGAAGTGGAGTTACATTTGCAGATTCATGTTGGTAAATAATGTTAATTTCATAGATAAATTTGTGATCAAACAAAGTCAAACGAGTCGTCGAATCCAACAATGAAATACTATCATCTATTTTCATCAATCACATAATTTAAAATGAAAACACATAAATAAGAACATTTATTTTTATTTTTAACAAATATATGAATCGAATTGAGTTATGCTTTATATTGTTTACGTTAAATATTAAGCAGTTTAAATTAAAAAAATGCTTTTTTCATAAGTATGCTAAAAACTTTTAGATTCGTTGAAACAGAAGCAAATTAATAATTTTATCGACTTTTATGTTTGATCTATATTAGGTGGTTCAAGTCTATTCAATCTATATGTATATAATCATACGTAGGACAAAACACTTAAAAATGAGTAAGTTATATTCCATACTTTTTCAGATTGAAATGAAACATATTTTACGTCATGTTTGAATATTTTATAGTTACAATTTTTTAACATAGAAATATGAAATACATTTAAAAGTCATATAGTTTTGCAAATAAGATGTTATATTTTTATATTCACATTGTGTTAGAAACTATGGAAACTATTATGTAAAGTCATTCAAGATAAATTACAAAGACTCTTACTTCATTGATGTTTATTATAACAATATGCAAAATGAACAATACTTTGATCAGAACTTATAACTTAATATTTATATCAAACATTTATCAGTTAAGATCATCATAATTCATCTTGTATAACAAACAAAAATATACATATAAATATATCACTCTGTTTAAAACAAAATATGTATGACTTTGCAATACTCTTCATGTTTCTACTTTAAAAAAAAAACCAAAGAAACGAACAATATATTGCATTCTCAGAAATGAGAATATTACTTTGGATGAACTATTTCGTAGTATTTTGTCCTGTATAAAATAAATAAATCAAAACTTCGATTTGATTTCATGCATATAAGAATATGACTATTTAAAAATGTATGTCAATGTTTCAATCCAACGGATATTATATACATACAAAAATTAAGATACATGTAATACATGGAGGGTTATTTGAGGCTTCATATCCAATATCATCAAATTAAAATTAAGAATATCAATGTTGAAAGGAATTTGAAGTGGACACTGTTATATTTTGGTAATTCAACAATAATTTTATTATCAATTTAATTTTTGATATTGACATTCTTTCTTAATAATGTAAAACAAATTGTATAAAATCGTAAAAAAGTGTCTTTTAATTTTTGAAATTAATCTCTCTCATCGAAACAGCGAATATGCCCTAACATGAATGCATTACACTAATTACAACATAGGATACTGTAACTAAATTTTTGTTATTAGGTTATCATTTTGTAAATTTAACGATTGCATTACGAATGCAGTTAAATAAATAAATCGACTCACTCAGTTTCTGTTAAATTAAACTAAGTGTTACTGAAAGCTTGAAATAATGTTTCGAAGGTCACCACACACAATTATCGGTAAGATTGTTTAATACTAGACATTCAATAAACTAGAATCTCACTGAAAATATATGTAGGTCCGTGTTGGTTTTATTTCAAATCTTCGATTAGTCAAAATTAAACATGTAATAATTCGAACGTTATGATTATACTGTTTCTTTAATTATTATAATTGCAAGATTTTGTAGTTTTGTAGTCGCATATAAAATTTTTCCGTATAATTAGCTGGCTTACTTCAAGCCCAATAAGATCGATACTTAAAAGGTTTTTTCGTTTTTTCTTTCTTTACTTCTATTTACTTCACAATGTATTTGGATATGGTTAATAAATATTACAACGTTGCAAAAAGCATCTAAGTTCTTCAATATGAAGCTCTCTCTTTCCGGATAGATCATCATCATCGTTGACATATTTTGATAATTAAAAAATATGCTGTTACATTAATTTCAGTCCAATACACATTCCCAACCCTAACAAACCTCTTAGGTTTGAGTTGATGCACGTAACGAGCCAACGTCTGCTATGTATAAGTCATTCAATTGAACGTCGGTAGACTCGTTATGCACACACTACAGGCAAACGTACATACATACATATTCTATTAATATGATTAAAATTAAAGACTATTGGGGGGGAAGGATGTAGAACTATTACTGTGAGCCAGACTTAACATTGAGCCACTAAGGCTTTCATCGTCTGGATAAGATTCTTTTGATGCCTCAGCTATCGCCAGAGCACTGCAATAATTTAAAACAAAAAATGTATATAGATACGACTATAAAAAAAAAGAAACATTTTTGTTTTTATCTTAAATTTATCTGCATAGTTTTTACTACACCAAACCGATTCTAATACGAATTAGCTGCACAAATTATAAATTTAAATGATTTTAATGAACATATTATGAAAGGAAATAATCGAAACATTCTTCTCCACTCTCTAATATGCTCAAATCTATGTTCACGCAAAATAGTACAGCTTACGAATTACATACCTGAATCCTATTCTTGCACTTTCCTCGTCAAATTGTTGTAATTCACGTTCTTGCCTTTCGTGTAGCAGACGTATCCGTTCGCTACGTTCACTAAGAAATTCCTCAGTTTCGAGTTCCATTTTTTGTTCAAGCAAAGCTCGCCTGACTGAACCTATAAACATACAGAAGGATAATACCTATTATAAATGTTTCTATTAGAATAAATATATTTTATTTGGTTATTTATGAATATCATGGACGATTATAGAATAATCGACTAGGAAATTTTGTTGTATTATAATGCGATATTTTACCTTGAGATTATGGCATTCGACTTCTTGCGATTCATCTAACCGTATACTTTGTTTCTGAAGCATTTCAGCAATACTTTGTTCGTACTGGTCGCCTAACAGAGCCAACTTTCTTCTCTGTTCTTCTTTCAACTTTTTAATAACTGCTTTCTGTTCTTCTTTAGCCGTTGTTTGTAATATTTGAGCCTTTAATGCCTTATATTGCCGTGTTTGTATTTTACACGTCTCCCTAAACTGTTTGCGAATCTGCATCTCCTTTTGCTAGAACAACAGATGCGTATAAACGTACTCAAATGTTTTTCTTTAATTTACAGTTACATAATTTCTCTTTCAAAATTGAACATTCAACTATTTTTTTTTTAAATAAATCTATGTAGCTTACTTTGAGACTCTTGGGTTGCTGCTTGAGCTCTAGTGCGTGTTTCTTACGCAAATCACGTTCCGCTCTTTGCATATAATCTTGTTGATTAGAAAGTTCGGTCGTATGTTGCCGATGAACTTGATCTTCCCGAAGCGCATGAACTGCCCTTTGCTGTCTATATTCAAGCTCTTGTGTTTTTTCATGATGTCGTAACAACATATTGTGTGCTTGTTCTAACTGTTGTTGTCTCTTATTTAATTCCTATTCATAAAAATACATTATGAAAATGCAGTTACTCCTTTCAAATAGTATATTAAATATTTATAAAGTTACAATATTAAATGTGAAATAGGTAAAAAAACAAAAGAAAAGTTTTGGAAACTAATATACTAACGTCCCGAAGCAGTTCTTGCTCTAAACTATGGAAGATGAGCAACTTTTTTCTACGGAATTTACGAATTTCAAAATCAAGGTATTCTCTTTGCCCTCTCGCAAGTCGTTGTTCTTCTTGCGCTTCAACTTGTCGTAAATTATCTTTATGACTTTGTAGCGTAGCATCCCGTTGCCGTTTTGGTGTAACTTCATCTTGAGATAATTCTTTTTTCCATCTCTCCTTGAAAGCCTAGAAGAATAAAGTTCCTTTATTACTAGAGAATTTTGAGGGTACAAAGCATTCCAATGTTGTTTAGCAAAAAAGAATTATTATCGTTTCACTTTTCTTACTTTGTACTCTCGTTTTTGCTGTGCTTCTAGTGCTTTCCGGTCAGCCTCTTGCCTACTTGTAATCTCTTTGTGAAGTTTCTTCTCTGCATTTTGGTTTTGCTTAAGTTTACGTTCTAATTCTTGCAAATGCCTCAGTTGTAGCTTCTCCAATTCTTTACTAAATTGTTGCAAAAGAGTTTCGTATTCCTTATCTAGTAATTGTTTATGGGATTCCATCTCCATCTTACAACGTTCTTCCAATTTTACCTATTTATAATATTCATGATACAAATGATACAATCAATTCTCTTAGAGACTACGCAATTTTTAAAATACGTTAATAGAAAATGTAAAAGTGATAACAAAAGAATACATACCAAAGCACCTTGATGTTCCCGCCTCATTCTCTTATATCCACTCATCTGTTCGTGCATTTCTTCCTGCATATGTTCTTTTTGTTGTTTAGTCACGATTGATGTTGTTCTAATTGTTGCAAAATTATTGGCACCATGTTCAAGAAGATTGGCAGTAACACCGCCTGTTGATATTTTATGCCGATTTCTCACAGATCCCGTGGAGTAATCATTTGCATCAGCATTTGGCAGTGGCAGGCTATTGGTGGAGGAACTTTGAGAGCTTGCAGAAACACCCATAGAGTGAATCGAATGCTCTGAGGTAATTGAATTACTCTTGCTACTATCACCACCTGTTTGTTCATCAGGAGTGCCTGTATGGTGTAGATAAGAATAAAAATTAATAAGTACCAGAACGTAGTCGAACTTTGTGGTTCCAAAATCAAAAATTTTTTAAACTCTAAAGCTTTGAACATATAACACACCATCAGCATCGCCAACTGTACTCTCAGTCTCACAGGCATCGATCATTAAAATCTTCTTCATTTTCCGATAATTCAAATTATCTAACTCCCGAACAGCACCTTTTGTTCTCTGAATTAAATCTATTAGAACTTGAGGGGAACGCGTTCTGGTGATAAATTGATGCTGTAAAATTGAAAACCTATAAGATTACAACTAACTAAACGACACTATGATTTCTATGAAGCTTGAGCATTAAGGCTGATGGTACTTCGAAGAAAATCTGCACAAAAGACTCACAGATAACAGTTTAGCAGAGGATGGCCTGTCACTTGGACTTTTGATAAGACATACTTCGACGAAACGACGGAAAATGTCCGACCAATCAGGAGAATTTAAAGTTGGTGCATCATTCTGGGCAATGTGATACAGAGCACTCATGGCATTCATGTTAAAGTAAGGTGGTTTTCGCTCAGCTAAAATTAGAATACTTTTAGTCGTTGTAGATCTATCATATTACTTTGTAATACACTTAATTCTGTTTTTACAGCATAGATACGCTCCCGAAAAATTCATATAAAAAACGCTCAAAAAAGATACCGTGCATATGAGAAATGAAGAATTGTCTCCAGAAGATAGAAACCGGTAAAAATAATACAGTTGAGAAATTAAAAAAAAATTTCATTTAAGATCAATTTCCTAGAACAAAAGTAAGAATATTTTTCATAAAATTAAAATTGACTGAAGATTTTTGAACAGACAAATTTATCGAACTGAGTTTAATCAAAACAAATCATGCAAAATGAGAATTTAAGTTTTCTAGATCAGATTACATTAAAATCGTGTATTAAAAAAATCCGTGTAAAAACAGTATTACGTGTATATCGTTATCCTTCAAATTATTCAGACAGCAATACCTAATTCAATGCATGTTATACCCAAAGACCATACGTCCACTTTTCCATCGTATTGTCCTTCATCCATAGCTAATATCACTTCTGGTGCCATCCAATAAGGAGTACCTACGAAGCTATTTGCTGGCCATTTTATACTTGCAGATCCAAAATCTGCTAATTTTACTGTTCCATTTTCGGTAAGTAAGATATTACCGGCCTTTACATCTCTATGGATTCTTCCATAGGCGTGAAGGTAATCCAAACCATTGAGTACACCATCACAAATTGCAGCTATTTCATCTTCTTTTAAAGGTCTTTTATGAACTTCAATAATGTCCGATGCAGATCCAAGGCAATATTCCATTACCAACTATAAGTAATTTATATTTTTACATTTATAATAATAATGGAACAGTACATAAGATATAATTGAGCATATAATAAAATATAATTTAGTAGGTATGAAATATGTATATATATATATATATATACCCAGGCAGTATGGTCCCTGAGATAACAACCCTTGTATTTTATTGTATTGGGATGGTCAAGCTGCCTAAGAAACCGTATTTCTTTTAGGATATCTTGCCATTTTTCAACCGTTTGTTTTCCCAAATATGACATTTTCTTGATAGCAACAATTTCTTTGGTAACCAAACATCGTGCATAATAAACAGCCCCAAAACTGCCATGCCCGATTTCACGCAGGTCTTCAAATATTTTCTCCGGATCATTTTTCTCAAATAATTCAGCAATCTCTGGATCCTTAAGACTACCAGGCCTTGGAACAGCTGGCATAGTAAAGGTGTTAGTAACTAAATGACCGAGGCCTATTTCAGACACCTTTAGACGTCTTCCTGCCTTTCAATCTTGTACCCTAAATTTTACAATCTTATTTAATCCTATGTCAGTCCATTCCAAAATTCAATATTTTATCTGTGAAAAAACACAGGCAACAAATTTTAATATTAGTAATTAGTCATTAATAATTAAATTCATGTTAAGTAATATTACTTAAAGTTCAACTATACGTTTCTTTATACTATCTTTATTATCCTATATTTTTACCACAAAATCATATACAAATAATTAACAAGAGAAACAGACAAATTTATAGCACAATGGAATACAGTGACTCCCATACCTTTGTCTCTTAGTTTCCTGCTTGAATATTTTACATTAAATGAACAGCAGCAAGTTTTTTTTTTTTAATAAACAAAATTTACTAATACACAAAATTTGGCAGATATCAATACACAAATTCGTATGACGCGAAATTAAAAGGAAGTCAAATACTGTCAGCAGAAAATTTTTCCTTGTGTAATTAAAACAAGCTTGACACTTATCACGAGGTCCTCGATACAAATCACACCAGTCAATCCGTCGAAAACCTTATTTGATACAGAGTAATATTCTATGTTTTTAAGAGGAATATCCGCGAGGAGCATTGAAACGAATCTTATCAGCACTAGTACAGAACTGTTAAACGACAGACGTTTCTACGAGAGGAACAGAAATAATCGTAAAACCAGGGTTGGTAAGTAAAGAAGGCAGTCGAGTGAAATTCGCAGGAGGTAGAAATGCGGGCGTAAGGAGGGTTGGGTCTCTGACTCGAAGCAATCGCGTCAGATTGGTCCCGTAAATACAACAGAGGGACATTGTCGGTGTAGCCGAAAACGCTTGCCGTGTTTGGATCGGACGTACGACATCACAATCGGATCCCGGTGTATCAACTAAAATTTATCCAGAGCTCCGGCAGCAAGGAAAAAAATGATATTCACCTCCAAAATGGCGAGGGAACAGGCACGAAAGCATGCGCGCAGCTCTGAGCACTCTCTTCAGACGGAGCAGCTCTTTTTCCTGAACTTGGGCGATCCTTCGAGCATATTAAGATCCAAGGAACACGATTTTTCGTCGTGCGATCGCACCGCACCCCGGAAAAGTACACGTCCCGTACGTGTCACGCACGTACGCACACACGCGCGAGACGCGACAATTCGCGGCAACGCAACAATACGGCACCCACCGTCGGCCTAGCACGAGAATTCGCAAACTTTTTGACGCCTTTTCGCCTGGCCAGGGTGTACTCTATGGCAGGCGAGTTCACCGTCAATGACGAGTGGCGCTTTGTATCGGTCAAATTCGAAACTATGTAGCCAGAATTACCGATAACTACGGGCTCCTTCTTTACCTATTTTATTTAAACAGTAACAAGAAAAACCGACTGAAACAGAGCCTGTAAGACTCATAGGACCACATAGGACATATATAGGATACGTTATCGTATCGGATGTAGTACTCTATTCTAGTTCTGTAGGAATAAATGCAAAGTTTTGTACCAAATTTGTCGAGGACTCCAATAAAATTTTGTGAATAAGCCACAACAAAGACCCACTAAAAATGGATTTAGGTTCAGCTAGAAAGCAATTAAAATTTCTAATACAATCAATTATTTACTACTTTTGGAATGTTGGGAAGATAAATTCAAATTTACCCTGATTTTAAAGATTGCAAAGATATAATTTTTAGAGCTTCATTACATGGACTGAGAAATGTATAATACATAATAGTAAAAAGGAGCAAATCAATTGCCCTTTACAAGTTCCTTCGAAAACAATTTCCAAATCAAAACAGATTACATATGCAGTACATACATGTGTCTGGTTGGCCTTTCCTTTCCGACTTGGCTCTGGAGTTCAAATTGCAGAGACTCTCCAACTATCTATATAACTATACATATACACGTTAAGGAACGTTCAACTGTTTCTTGTATAGACATTTTAACTGATTTACATAAACTGAACAGCATAAGCAAGCCAAAAAGGAAAAACTGAGCGTGTATAACGCGCTTAAAATAATACATTGCGATCCGTATAGTAATAATAATACATATGATATTTAAAGATTATTTATAAAAACATTATGCAAATATAATACGTTTGTATTCGAACACTGATAGGACTAATGAAAGCTAAACCACGTGACTACGGATTAAACGAGACAGCGTACCGGGAATAATTGTCAAAAGAAAGGAATTTATTTATTTCAAACGAAACATTAACTTTTTTCAAATTTTACATGATTATTACACAATGTACTCAGAAATGATTAAATTTAATGACATATTATGTCATCCGAGGGTACAGGAGTTTAGAAATGATAAAGAAGTGTTATCATCTGTTGGAGTCTGTGTTCAGTCTTACATTGTATATACAGCAGACATTCGTTTCCCGCACTAGTCGGGGCTGTAGCGGGCCAGAATTCCAAGAATCGTACAGGAAGTAAACGCCAGTTACCCTAGCGTTTTCCCCACCACTCGACCGTTCATTCGTGCGACGCAGCTACATCTAGGGTGGGCTGGATATGCGCACTTTACAGTTACATTAATTATCTCCGTTCTTTTTAAAGAGATCAGAAAAGTTTATTCACAGATGTTGTTCAGTATGAAGAGGGCTATTACTTAGCAGTAACAAGTTTTTCGTAGGTGGAGTATCTTCTAAGTTTTCAAAGTTAATTATGTTATTTTTATTAATGATATTGAAATATTATGGAATAAAATACCTTTATTACATAAATCGATTCTTCCAAACATTCTGCGTAATAAAGTATTAAGGTATTATGTGAAAAAGGTAATAATTTGTGACATATTTTACATAAAAAATTTGAAACATGTCACGAATTGTTATGTAACTCCTACTCAACCTACAAGAAAGTTATTATTGCTATGTTATGGTCACTCTGATAGCATTTAAGTACTGTACTTTCTGATCGTTTGATGTGAAATGAAATTGCCACCAATATTCATACAGTTGTCTGCGAAATTGTTGTTCAAACAAAACACTCAAATATGTCGTTGAATTCGCCTTCAAATGCTTAATAAGACGACAGTAAACAAAATATGTAGTTCCATAGTGGGGGCAAAGCTCACACGGACAGGCTAGAATATGCTTGTGTAGAATATCCACGGGAGGCGTGGAGAGGGTATGCGCTCGCGCGAAAATCCCACATTCTGGCATCACTGGCCGGGAGGCCTGGGAGGTTGATATGGTAGGTGGGTTGGATATATTGAAGCCGGACTCTCGCGTTGTTACCATTTTTACCCTCAGCACGGATAGTACTCGAGTCAGATGTGACGCGTCTATAAGACTGTATAAGACTTCTTGAAACCATCTTTAAACCGTGTGTAACATATTTTTAATATGTCTATAAGCCATCTCTAACACGTCTATTAAAAATCTATAAGATAGTCTTAAAATGTCTACAAGATGTCTGTAACACATTTGTATTACCTACAAAGACGCCTCCTAAGACGGCTCTAACCTGTCTTTAAGATGGCTAGGTAGACCGTTTTAAGACATCTTCAAGACAACTCGTTTTTTCACAAGACACGCTCACAGGCTCTAGATAGGCTGTTCACAGGATATTACCAGACGTTTTCAAGACGATATGAACGTCTGAATACAGACATTTTCAAGCCAGTCACAAGACATACGTCTGCTATCTGGGTACTGTTCAATCATACGTGCATTATAAAGAATGGTCCAGTAATTTTGATCACTTTAATTATCTTCATTATTTCCACAGACATAAAAAAAATGTATTCACAAATCTTATCTGGTATCAGAGGAACCGTACATAGCAGAAATAATTTTGTTATAGGTCGAGAAAAAAATTAACAGTTTGTGACATATTTTATATTTCGTATATAAAATATCTCACGAATTATTAACTTCTTTCACATATTACCTTAATATTTTATCACGCAGAATGTTTAGAATAATCTACTTACGCAACAAAATATTTTTATTCCACAATATTTCAGTAGCATAAAAGAGAATACATAATTAATCTTGAAAACTCAGGAAATCCTCGACCAACGAAAAAATTATTACTGCTAAATAATAGCCCTTTCCGTGCTAAACAACTTCTGTGGATAAACCTTCCTGATATCTCTAAAAATAAAGGAGATAATTAAGATGACCGTAAAATGCGTACATCGAACCCACCCTATATATAGGTGCGTCACACGACTGACCAACTGAACAGCCGAGTGGTGGGGAGAGCGCGCGGGTGATTGGAGCTCGCTTATTGTAATATTCCTAGAATTTTGGCACTCTACACTCTACGCCCTGAAGGCTGCAATAAACGAGCGCCTATTGTATAACGTCATACCTAACCTATGGCAACAATATTATTTCAATTGCTCCTTGTTAATAAGTTTTTATTAAGATATCTGACCATTAAATATTATAAAACAGATCAGGAGCAATTTTTTGGTACCATAATATTTGTGTAAAAAGACTATTTACTATCTATTTTGCAGACAACAAGTTTTTGCTTTTACATTTGCGAATATCTCATTAAATATAATAGTTGTGATGGGAGCAATTTTAGATTCCGAAGGAGCAAATTGGGAGCAATTTTTTAAGGTAAAAATTGTTAAGAAACATTAAGATATACACTATTCTTCGGCGAATTGTCGACTCTCCAGCTCTGAGAATTCTTTATTGTTCAATGGTATCGTAGAATACTGTCCTTACTGGTATAACCAACAGATGGCTCTTATTATTTTTACACGATTAGTAACTTCAAGCAACGCGTGAACTTACTTTGGTTAGGAAAATTTCATCGATCCAGTAAAAATGTTAGATAAGAAAAAAAAAGTCATAAAATTGTAGTTTTTATACACCGAGCAGACTACATACATACTTTGTTATTTGTTACTGTGACTATTGTCTGGCTAGACGATCGAGCTTAGTCCTTGGCATCGCCTTAATTACCATTGCGTCTGATGATATAAGGGAGCTACTCTGAGAACCCTAATAGTAGCTTTCTCGTAAAAACAAATAACATACCATGTATTATCGTATTAATAAAAATTTACTTTGAATACTGTTAACAGAAAACTACACGAACTCGTTCCGGTATTTAATATGACTACAAAAATTTCTTTTAACCTGCTATGGTCTTTACGGATCTGTTAAGAGTTTTTTTCGTCTTGATCAATTTTTCAACGCTTCTCCGATATTTTAGCACTTTTCAAACTGATCTCATTCTGTTTTCTGAAAAACGGTTCTGTATTTCCGATTAGCACAAGAATATCATTACTAATATGTATATTTACCGTTTCTCGTAATTATTACAAAAGTATAATATGTATCAACGTCAACGATTTACAAATCCTATAACATATGTTGAAACAATCACGGATCGAAGCCATCGCTAAACTCGTGCAGGACTCGGGACTCTGGGGTAACGAGGGGAAACCGAAGTGCGTAAAGGAAGCGGGGAACAGTGCAGGAAGGAGCCGAACGGCCGAATGGCAGGCCATTTCGTGGAATGTCGCATCGTGTCAGGCGAACAACAGTCGGACTCCTCCGGAACTCCGTTCGAGCACAGGCCTGATCGTGAGTCTTCTGGCTTAACTGGTTGGCTGGTTGGCTTACTGGTTGGTTATTCGCGGGTACAGTACAGGTTTGCCTGGGCTTTCCCGACTTGTGCGCCCTACTGCTCAGCTAGCGGCGGCAGTCACTGCTCGCTCCACACTCAACCACACTCAACCGTTGAGTCTCAATGGCTGTCACCGTTTTCTCACAGTACTATCTCTTACAGCTTCCTATTCTCTCTCGACATTTCTTTGTCCCGTGTTCTCATAGTTTCTCGTCATCTTCTGGCACATTTTGCATACTTCTTTTTCCTTTTCTTTAACTCTTTATTTCTTTTATCATTTTCATCGTTAGGCAACGGAAAAAGTCCGTCCTGTTTCCTATCAACGGTACATTCACAGTAAATTTTTCTTATTATTTGACAAACAATATCAATATCGATACGAAGTTATCTTGTATAAAGTTACACTTGCAAACTGCAATTACACCTTTCCAAGAATAGAAACCGAAAAGAAAAAATGATAAGGTAATTTATTGTTTCCATACGGTACAATAGCTCCCGAAGCGACAATATCAGTCGCTTTAACCGAAAACTTCTTATCCTTACATAGGTGTCAATATTTTGTCCGAATGAACATGCCGTTAAATAAGTAATATGAATCGCAAAGGGTGTTCATTGATACCTTCGAGTAACTGTTCCTTTCCATTTCCTGTTCACTTTCATAATTAGTATTTTCTTCCGA